AGTGCTCCGTTTTTCTTGGATACTAAAGACAAGATGGAGGTGGCAGAAGAACACATTAGGCATATAATGCTTTATGAATTTAAGAAAGGGAATAACGCGACTGCAGCCACGAAAAACATTCGAGATATTTATGGTGAGGAAGCTCTGAATACGAGGAAATGCCAAAGGTGGTTCCAGAAATTCAGGTCTGGTGACTACAGCTTAACTGATGAAGCACGTTCAGGCCGACCTATTGACTTTGATGATGAACTGCTGGTGGCTACACTCGATGAAGATCCTCCTGTTGAAGGACTTGCTCAAAAGCTCAATTCCACCCATTCCACCATTCACCGCCACTTGCGACGGCTAGGAAAAGTGTCAAAATTTGGAAAGTGGGTTCCACATGTGTTGTCACCAGACAATCTTAGGGATCGAGTAAACATTTGCTCTTTCCTACACTCTCGTGCACTTCAAGTGCCGTTTTTGAATCGACTCATTACTGGGGATGAAAAATGGGTGCTTATCACAATGTTAAGCGTCGTCGACCGTGGGCTAGTGCTGCTATACCACAGGCAAGAAGAGGTCTTCACCCCAGGAAGGTTTTGCTGTGCGTTTGTTGGGATATTCTTGGCGTTGTTTATTTTGAACTGTTGCAGCCCGATGAAACTATAACAGCGGAGGTATACTGCCGGCAGCTCCAAAGTTTGAGCGCTGCATTGCAGGAAAAACGTCCTTCATTGGCCAATCGCAAGGGTGTTTTGTTTCATCAGGACAACAACGCGCGTCCTCATACCGCTCGGATCACGTGTGCCAAAATCGAAGAGCTGGGTTGGGAAAAAATTCCACATCCGCCGTATTCACCAGACATTGCACCCTCCGATTACCACCTATTCAGAAGTCTACAAAACCGAAAAGAATTTGAAAGTTTGGAGGCTGTCAAAAGTGACCTGTCCGCATTTTTTGCTTCAAAGCCAAAGGAATTTTATAAACATGGAATTGAAATGCTTGTAGAAAGGTGGCAGAGAGTCATAGAGAACGAAGGGGAGTATATACTTGATTGAAACTTGATGCGATGCAGGTGTATTTTAATTTTGAAAAACAGAGAAAAAAACGATATTACTTACTAGCGAGTTTGTTTGCCCGAAGGGCAAACAAACTCGCTGTGGTCGAGCCTTCGGCTCTCCATTACCTTGGATAGCTATTATTTCATTTATTCTTTGCGAAATGGCAAACACTTAATTAAAGTACGTCCCATTGGAATACGTGACATATGGGGACGAAAGTCTTCATTTTTATCAAAATCATTACTTCTATGACTTCCAGAGCCTAACTTGAAATCTTTTCATATGTCCCTTTTTCTAAGGGTGGAGAATACATAATGCAATACTTCCCTCCTATAATCTAGCTCATGAGGCATATTTCAAAAGTAGGATTTTTTCCGTACTCAGCCATAAAACAGGCACTTCTGAGTGAATTTTAAATTTTCTGTTTCTGTTTCGTTGGATCGAAAAATAATTCACGAAAATATGACTTAAAAAAAAGTTTCCTAATTTTTTTAAACGAATATTTATTTTCATTCTGAAATATAGACTCAGGGAACTCCGTGCCACCCAGTATCAGCCTTATACGTTTCCCATTTTTGCTGGCGGTAAAAAATATATTTGGAAAAGCAACCCACCCAAAAGCTGTGCTCTGGGGAGACGCTCAGCAAAAGTTGAATTTTTCCTTAAATCAACATCACGTCCGTTATGCGTGCGCCAATTTGGAAAAGCAACCCACCCAAAAGGTGTGCTCTGGGGAGACGCTCAGCAAAAGTTGAATTTTTCCTTAAATCAACATCACGTCCGTTATGCGTGCGCCAGCTGCTATTTTTCTATTTCTGCCCGATTCGCTAGCATATAAAAAAAATTCTTTAAAAACGTTACGTCCGCAAGAAATATGCCCCCTAAAAATATTTTGGACATTTGACATTTGACGTTTCAGCTGAGTGCTTCGCATGTCACGTTCTTGCCATGTTAGAGCTTTCCATGGGTCTCCATTTCATTGAAGCAAAGAGAAGTATTTGAAAATATGTTCCCCGAAAAGGTGTGCCCCTATGGCGTGTATCACCAAAGTGGAATTTTTCTTGAACTCAAGATGTGAAGAGCTACTTATGTCAATCAGCTGCTCACGATCATCTATATATAATATGAAAATAGAATTGTTTCTTTACTCAGCAATTCATCAGGTACTTCTTTGCCAAGTTAAAACTTTCTACCACCCTCCGTTTTGCTGAATCAGCAAATTTATGAAAATTTGGAAAATATCTGCCCTTGGGCGTTATAACAGTAAAGTACCATTTTTACCGAAATTAAACCTTAGTGAACTACATGCCCACAAAGTTTAAATATTATACGTTTGCCCATTTCACTGGTGAAAAATCATGTTTGGAAAAGCCAACCCACCCGAAGGCTATGCCCGGAGGGGATGCACCATGAAAGCTGAATACTCCCTCAACTCAATAATATCACCTCATTTATACGTGTGCCAAGTTTCACCTTTCCATTTCTATCCAATGCGCCATGACAATTTCTTTCTTTTGAAACATCGCCCCTTGAGAAATTTTTCCCCGGGGATGTATCAAGACTTAACATTTTTCTTTAACTCCTTATCTTAGTAGTCACATTCATACAAAGTTCCAGCTTTCCATGTCCATCGGTTTATATAATGGAAAAAAATTATGTGAAAACATTCTCCCTTTGAAATTCATGCCCCAGGCCATTTCATTCCAAAGTCTGAATTTTTCTGCACACAGCATCCCGGTAGGTAATTATGTACCAAGTTTCATCTTTCCACACTAGCTCTATACACCAGGACAAAAAAAAATACTTGAAAACGTTGGCCCCAAAAATATTCCCCCAGGGCATGGATCTAAAATTTTGCATTTCTTCTGAACTCATCGTGTCAGTCCATGCCACGTTTCAGCTTTCCATGTCTCTCCGTTTTATTGAAGCAATGGGACATGGAAGGCAAGAGAAATAAAAAAAGGCATGAAATGGCAAGTAATTGAACCCTGGCCTCACGATTACCAGTCCGATGTGCTACCACTACACCACCGAAACGGTGCCTTACAATAGTTTCTTTCGATGACATCCTCATCCATCACGATATATATTTTAAAAAAAACTTCTCCCTCCAAAATGTGTACCCCCAGGGCATGTATCTCCAAAGTCTGAGTTTTTCTGAACTCTGCACCCCAAAAGGTACATGTGTACCAAGTTTCAGATTTCTAACCTTTCTGGAACATGGTTAGAATTAGCGTCAGTCAGTCAGTCACGATCGTCTATATATATTAGATGGGATGACCTGATATTTTCTGGATAGGAAATAGACTCCTCAGAACATAGGCCAAAAATTGGTTAGCAACTCCGCTAATCTCTTTCCTTTATTGGGTTATTCCATCCGAACTCAAGCGATTATTCAGAAAAGAATAAAGTCCTTCGGATCTGCGCTTAGCGACATTTCGCCCTCCAAATTCAGAGAGAAAACGAAAAAAAAAAACCAACTGCGCCAAAATTTAACTTCAGGAATAGTTCAATGTACGGCTGCTTGCAATATCTTCAATTGGAACTCTTCAACAGGTGTACAATTCACTTCATGTATCCTTGAAGTTTGAAGGCGATTTTGACGTCAATTGAGTTCGAAATTGTGAAATGTATTCCATTTTGACCGCTAAATAACCCTATTTGGCAAAGGAAAATATACACTCTTTACAATATACACTCTTTCATATGCATCAATGAGAGAAGTTACTTGTATGACCTTTTTGTGCGCTTCATAGATAAAAATTCACCTCAAAATTGGAATTATCTCATTCTTGGTCGAGATTATTTCGATGTGGCCACGGGCTAACGTTATCAAGGGTAATGTCATGAGCAACGTGAGCTTCGACACTTTCCAACAATGTTTGTTGGCTCTTTTTTCGAATTACTTTTTTGGTAGTTCGCCTAAAGCTGCATAATTTTTCCAAGTTTTAATCAAGTGGCTGAATTTAGTCGTGCAATATATCACCAGAAAGGTAAGTCAGAGTCCCATGCGGTTTGTTGAATAACTCAACGTCATATGCAAGTGAAATCAATATTGCAAGAGCCAAAATGTTCTTCACCACGAGCGCCTCTATGCATCGATTGTTGCTTGTCTCGTTGAAACCAGTGAAAAATCGAAAAGATTACATAAAATGTGAGCGAAAACTACCGCATAGGGAACGAAGTTTGGTTGGCAATATGCCCCAAATTCAGATACGACAGAGGTGATTACTTTTTCTTACGGGCTTGTTCGACTGACCGTAATTTCTGATAATTTCCATTGAGAAATCTGAGACGTCCAGGCTCCCATTTATTCATAGTGGTTGAGTTCGTATGGGAGGACTCGATACTCTAACACATCATCAAATTAAGACGTACTTTTGCACTTGAGAGCAAAATACACTACTCATTCAATAATACCATGTTGAGGATACACCATTAAAAAATTTCTGACACCGAATGAAATATTTCAAGCGGCGACGATACTGCCTCAATCGTGAAAAATTACATTTCATGACTGAACTTTTAATCACCGTCGCCATTCTCCAGACGAACTATACACTTTAAAAATTCAGGAAAGGAACTTTATAGGGTTTCCTATGAGATAAAAAAATTCACATCTAGAACTCTCAAAGTTGATTTGATGAAGAAGCAAGCAGGACACATTTTTGCTTCATTCCATATGTTTATGCAGCAATGAAAAGGTAGGAAAGATCATGTGCCTATATGCTGGTTTTCTTCAATTGGCTCCACTCTCTTGTTCTACAGGGTGACTCAAAAGTCCTTGGACACCTATTGAAAAAACCGTTGGGCAAGTGATAGCCTGGTGATTTTTTGGGTGAAGCAACATCTACTACAGATTTATTTGCCTTCCGAGTTTCAGGTCGAAAGCTCTTGATATGGTTCCCAAACATCAATGAGAAGCAGTGATTTTTCAAAATCAGAGTGGTCTTTCAGCAAGCAGGATCTCAAAGCTCACCAAAACCCCTCGATCTACTATCTACAGCATTATTCGGCGAAACAATGAGCTTGGATCAGCTGCAGATTGCCAAATAAGTGGACGTCCTTCTGTGTTCCAGGATGAGAAGCTCCAGAAACGAGTCAGGCAAATGCTATAAAGAAATCCAGAGCATTCTGGAATAAAGCTTGCACAAACCTTGAGAGTGGACTAAGAGACCTTGCGAAGATACATCAGGGGAAAGCTCTGCATGAAGCCTTTTAAAAAACAAAAGGTGCAGCTGCTTACAGAGATCAACAAGAAGAAACAAGTTCAAAGGTCCTGCCAGTTTGCTCAAACGGTTTAACCAGTCCTCACTCCAAAGGATTGTCATTTCTGACAAAAAAATTTTCACTGTAGAGCAAGCTTACAACCCCCTAAACAATCGCCTCAGGGGTAAAAAGCTTTCCTATTTCAAGTCTCACCAGCGATATGTCCATCGAGTTAAAAAAAACCAGGTAATGTGATGGTGTGGGGTGGTGTTTGTGCTTCTGGCAAAACTCCCCTGCATTTTGTGCAGCCTCAGGCCAAGATCAATGCCAGCTACTATCAAGAGTGTGTTGAAGGTGTTACTCCCCTGGACTCAGGAACATTTTAAATCCCAGCCTGGGGGATTCCAGCAGGACTCAGCGCCAGCTCACAAGGCAAAATCCACCATCGACTTCTGCAGAACTCGCTTTCCAGACTTGATTTCCCCAGAAGAATGGCCTGCTAGTAGTCCTGATTTGAATCCATTGGATTACAGTGTGTGGTCCTACTTGCAGATTGGTTTAGTTTTTTGTGATCTTTGCACTGGTCAAATCAGAAATTAAATTGGTCTTCATCAGAGAATGCTACACTTGATTAAAGGTGTCCAAGGACTTTTGAGTCACCCTGTAAGAAGTATACACGAACTCAAACCATTATTCCCGCCCCATTGTCTGGACAAGGTGGAGATGGTTCAATTTCCCAGTTACTAGCTCATCATTACAGTGATCTTAGGCTCCCGATGTATGTATAGGCAATATTAACTTGTTTAATACCTGGGTTCCATGAATCAGTCTCAAATATGGAGGTAATGATGAAAAAAAGACGGATTTGATTAATTTCCTTTCTGAGACACGAAAAAATATACAATGATATACTGAGTACTCTTTAGAACGACGAATCTAGAGAATGAAGGAAGGGTACTTTTGGGGCACTGGGTGAAAAACAAAAACCATGCTGCCATCTAGTGGCCTAGTCCTCAGAGAGAACTTCATTTTCCTGATACTTTCAAGTGCAATTAAGGCACATTGGATCGTTCCATCCATTCGATATGGGATCGCGATGGCATGGCAATGTTAAGGAGACATTTCTTCAAAAAAATTCAATTTTGACGAAGCAATGTTGCCTGCAGCTGATAGCCGATAATAATTACAAGTCAACCTGGAGCCTTAAATGGGCTTGGATATTTTGCAATGTTACACCAATAATGGGAAACCAGTCTATAGCCATTAATGGGCTTATGTCCTCCAGCAATGAAGTGTCGAATAATGGCTAACCAAGATGGAGCCACGAATGGGCCAAGCATTCCTGTCAATACCGACGATCTGCGACATTGTCAGGAAGTGACCATTCATTCCAGATATTGCATTGTTAATTCTTTCCTGCAATTATTTTCTAAAAGAAACGATGAAAGCAATTTTACCAGTTTAAAGTTCAAGATGGTATTCTGTCGTTGTCCCTTGTTCTACCGCTAGGGAACGACATTGAATAATATGCCCTGGAACCTATTGCTGAAAAGTCATAATCAGAGCCAAAATCATATTTTAACCATTGTGTTCATCATGCACAAAAGGGTAAATAGTCTCATCCTTTGTATGCACTAAACCGGATTGCCATAACGTGTCCAAGTACCACTCATCTTAATGCGGAAAAACTTGGCATCAATTACCACTCGATCTTGAAGTATCTGATTGGAAAGAAAGTTCTCGGAATTTCATGAACAATTATTACAACCCAGTTTATTTAAAAGCAAAATCATCTCAATCATGAATGTAATCACCATTGGCCTCTATCACTTCACGCCAACGTTTATGCAAACTATGGATGCCATTCCAATAGAACTCTGGCGGCTGCGCTACGAAAAAGTTGGCCAAATCGGTTTTCAGGTCGTCTTGGTTGGCGTACTGCTTTCCACCCATGTGACGGTCCAGGGCAACGAAAAGGTGATAATCGGACGGGGCAAGGTCGGGGCTGTAGGGCGGATGCGGCAGCACCTCCCAGCACAGGTCCAGTAACTTTAGATGAGTCTGTCTAGCGGTGTGCGGCCGGGCATCGTCGTGGAGGAGGATGGTTCTCTGTCTTTCTGGGCGTGTTTCAGCCAGTTTCTGCTGCAGCCGATCGAGTTGCTGGCAGTAGTAGGCAGCAGTGATGGTGGTGTTTTGCGGCAACAGCTCAAACATGATGATGCCTTTCGAATCCCAGAAGACCGAGAGCATAATCTTTTTGGGGTGCAACTCCTGACGGGGTTCTCTTTCGGCCGATGCTCCGGCGTCCACCCACTGACGTTTTCGTCGAATGTTGGCATAGAAGGTCCACTTTTCGTCGCCTGTCACCACTGAGTCTAGCCAATCCGTTCGGCGCGAACGTGACAGAAGGGAGATGGCCATGTCTACTCGTCGCTGGCGGTCCCGATCATCCAGCTTGTGGGGTACCCAGCACCCCAACTTTGCCTTCTTGCCAAGCTCAGCCAGATGATGAAGGATAGTTGTATGGGAGACACCCAGCAAGTCCGCAAGCTCTCGCGATGTTTGCCGGTTGTTGGCCTCCAGTGCCTCCTGCAAGGCAGAGTTATCAAACTCCGAAGGACGACCGGTGCGTGGCTGGTCTTCCAGGCTTTCATTTCCTTTCTGGAAGCGACTGTACCAATCATAGGCAGTGCTCTTGGACACAGTGTCCGGGCCAAACGCGGTATTGATGTCAGCGATGGAATTGGCTGCCTTCTTCTCGATTCGGAAGTCATAAAGAAGAAGCAGGCGAACTTGCTCCTTAGTAAGAGGGTAGGGCTGGTTCATGGCTGGAGAGCACCAGGGCTGTAATAATATACGGTTGTATGCCGAAGGACACGACCTACTTATAAACACATGCAGAACATTCTAGCATGCTCTGGAAAAAAAGTGTACTGGATATTCAAGAAATTCCGAGAACTTTCTTTCCAATCAGATAAATTGAGCATATGGAGTTTCGTTTCAACAGATGCTCTATGAGGAGAATACGATATGCAGCTCGCACCATTTAAAAGTAGCCTGGGAAGTCGTTCCGTATTGGTGGCTGTCTTTCGACATTGCTGGGATACTTTTTTGTGGTACTGCAGGAATGGGTCATGCGGCCATGACCCATGTGGTGGGTGGTTGGGGATTGTCGAGCTGAGAAAGCGAACCGAGTTTGTATTTCTCTGAGAGTGAAAAGCAATCGGTGTTGTAAGCAATGCGGTTTTCATTACAGAAACGGATTGTTATGATTGAAAATTACATTGAAAGCAAATATGCGGCAACGAAAGATTATTTCCAACAAGACCACGCACACTGTATGAACAACTCTTTCACGTGTCCAACAAGTGCTTCGAGAAGAAAGAACTGAGCAAAGGCTGGAGGCCACAACTTTCTCCAGATTTATCCGTGTTTAACTCTTTGAGGGAACCTTACATCCAAAATGCAATCGAACAACTTCAGAACCATTGATTAATTAAGTACAAAACTGTTTGCTATCATTGCTGCAATAATGCCAGAAGAACTGCGGATGACGTCCATGAATATGCTGGTGAGGAAACGAACATTTATCCAAGTCAACGACATTCATTTCCAACATGTTGTTTCTTGTTCCATTATATAAAGGACTTGCCGTGATTCACGTTCTCCAAGGGATGGAAACATGTATTTTGCCCAGGAAAGTCACCAGGCCAATATGGCCGTGGCAGTCAACTTGTTAAGAAACTAAATCGGCACCTAAGCGCCTATTGATTCTTCGAATTTGGTTTTGAACTGACCGAAGAGGAAGAGTCCTTCTGTGTCCGGTTTTGTCGTTTCTCAAATAGTTCATCTGGAAAGCATATCGTGCGCCAAACGTCTTCCTTTAAAAGGCTACTTATAAAGTTTTCATCCAAGTTACAAGCAAATAAAATGAAAAATTTACACATTGTTGGTTGCACTGCATCTTTCCTATTGGGAAACTATCTGTCAATGTGGCCGCCATCAGCAACCACAACAGCCTCTAGACGCTTCTTAAAAGTCAATGCTGCTTTTCGCACATGTTCGTCAGGAATTGTGCCCCATGCTTCAGCAAAGAGAGCTTCAATGCCCAATAGATTGGTGTTGGGGCATGCAATGCTCTCCAACATTCCCCAGATCGAGAAGTCCAAAGGGTTGAGATCCATGGAGCTGGAAGGTCATTCAATGGGCTTGATGATGTCCGGAAAATTGGCCTCGCACCACTGGATTGTGCTTTTTCCCTTGTGAGTGGGGGCAGAACCCTGCTGGAAGGTCCAATGCTGTGACCCAAAGAAGTCCTCAGGCCTAGGCTTCACCACCTTCTGCAGCACTTACTTCTGGCAATACTCTAAATTGATTTTGGCGCCTAGAGTGACAGAATGCAGTGGTGTTTTCCCTGTTGCTGTAACTCCTGCCCAAACCATGACAGAGGCTGCCTTTTGCACTCGATGGACTCGCCGCAGTGAGCTCTGCCCATTCTTCAGCCACTACTGGTCATTCTGAGTGCTGAGGTGTCGTTCCACATTTAAAGTCTTCTCATCAGTGAAGAAAATCCGGTCCCAGTCCTTGTTGTGAAACTGCTAAAGCAGTGCCTTTGCATTTTGCAGCCTAGCTTCTTGCTTTTTCTCAGAATATAGCTGGACCTTTTGCAGCTTGTTGGACTGCATCTTGAGACTGCCCTTGACCAGTCTGCTGAGGGATGTGGCTGCCACGCCAATCAATTTTGCCTGTTTCCGAAGTGAGCGCTTCGTCACTCGTTGAAAACATTTTTTTTCCTTTCATTTTAATGCGAGTGCTCCAGAACTGCCTTGCGAAATTGCATTCGTTGCCACTCTTCACCTTATTTCATTTCACTTTGCGTTCAGACATGGCAATTTCGAATATGGCAATT